CTTGTAGAACACTTGTGTGGGTCACTTGCAGGACACTCTTGTGGGACACTCTTACACGACACTCTTGTAGGACACTCTTGTGGGACACTTTTCACTCTTGTAGGACACTCTTGTAGGAAACTCTTGTGGGACACTCTTGTGGGACACAGGACACTCTTGTGGGACACTCTTGTGGCACACTCGTGTAGGACACTCTTGTAGGACACTCTTGCGGGTCACTCTTGTAGGAAACTCTTGTGGGACACTCTGTGGGACACTCTTGTGGGACACTCTTGTGGGACACTCTTGTAGGACACTCTTGTGGGATACTCCTGTAGAACACTCTTAACGGACACTCTTGTGAGACGCTCTAGTGGGACACTGTTGTGGGACAGTCTTGTAGGACACTCTTGTGGGACACTCTTGTAAGACACTCTTGTGGGACACTCTTCTGGGACACTCTTGTGGGACACTCTTGTAGGACACTCTTGTGGGTCACTCTTGTGGGGCACTCTTGTAGGACACTCTTGTGGGACACTCTTCTGGGACACTCTTGTAGGACACTCTTGTAGGAAACTCTTGTGAAAAAATCCTGCGGGACACTCTTGTAGGACACTCTTGCGGGACACTCTTGTGGGACACTCTTATAGGACACTCTTGTGGAACACTCTTGTGAGACACTCTTGTAGGACACTCTTGTGGGACACTCTTGTGAGACACTCTTGTGGGACACTCTTAGGAAACTCTTGTGGGACACTCTTGTGGGACACTCTTCTAGGACACTCTTGTGAGATACTCTTGTCGGACACTCTTAAGGGACACTCTTAAGGGACACTCTTGTGAGACACTCTTGAGCGACACTGTTGCGGGACACTCTTGTGGGACACTCTTGTGGCACACTCTTGTGGGACACTCTTGTAGAACACTCTTGTGGGACAGTCTTGTAGGACACTCTTGTGGGACACTCTTGTGGGACACTCTTGTGGGACACTCTTGTGGGACACTCTTGTAGGACACTCTTGTGGGACACTCTTGTGGGACACTCTTGTGTGACACTCTTGTAGGAAACTCTTGTGGGACACTCTTGTGGGACACTCTTGTGGGACACTCTTATAGGACACTCTTGTAGGACACTCTTGTGGGTCACTCTTGTAGGAGACTCTTGTGGGACACTCTTGTGGGACACTCTGTGGGACACTCTTGTGGGACTCCTTGTGGGGCACTCTTGTAGGATACTCTTGTGGGACAGTCTTGTAGGACACTCTTGTGGGACACTCTTGTGGGACACTCTTGTAGGACACTCTTGTGGGATACTCCTGTAGGACACTCTTAAGGGACACTCTTGTGAGACACTCTAGTGGGACACTGTTGCGGGACACTCTTGTGGACTCTCTTCCAGCTCCCCAGATACTCCGCGTACTAAAGTTGTACTACAAGGTCGCCAGTTCTCAGCTTCCAGCTCCCCAGATACTCCACGTACTACAGTTGTACTACAAGGTCGCCAGTTCTCAGCTTCCAGCTCCACAGATTGCTCCGCGTACTCAAGTTGTACTACAAAGTCGCCAGTTCTCAGCTTCCAGCTCCACAGATTGCTCCGCGTACTAAAGTTGTACTACCAAGTCACCAGTTCTCATGTTCCAGCTCCCCAGATACCCCGCGCACTAAAGTTGCACTACAAAGTCGCCAGTGCTCGCCTGCATTTCGCGCGCTCGACACGCACGTAACCGCTACCTTTCGTGAATTGGCCATCAATCGGTTCAAAACCAGTGAACACTCATCCATTTCATCAATCAGTCCCAAAGGGCCACAATGTGCCAAGGTTCTTCAATTCCTTCAGATAGACTTGGGAACGTTCAAGACGGCAGCTCGTGAGGCAAACCTGGTGAAGTGCCAAACAAACTATGAACCAATCGACTCTTGCGAATGTCTTTCATTCTTCGCAGGGGCCTCTGTCATTTGTTCCAAATACATCACATATTGCTTGGCCTCCTCAGCATGGACGAACCAGTCCACTAAAGAGATTGCTGATGAAGAGTTGATTTGACCAGCGTTTCCCTTCCCTGCCAAGTAGCTTTGACCCGTGCCTGAAAAGATTGTGGCCGGTTTGATCGCTCCACTTTGCAAAGAAACTCGACAAATTCCTAAGTTCATAACCTTTGGTTTGGCCTGCCAAAGCAAAGTCGAAATATCAGAAAACATGAAAACATGGGCATACAGCATCCAAAACAAGATGGAACCGACAAACCCAAATGCACACACTTATAGAAATGCGCACGGACTCGAATGCCGCTCGCCACACGGCAACCTAAGAAACAAAAATCCTGAACAACCAGGTAAGGAGGCCTGAGCACCTGTAGTGAAAGGCCAAAGTTCCAACTCCACGATACGACGAACAGGTCGAAATGGCGGCGGCCGCTCTCGTCTGCAGACTGGTAACAGATTGTGAACACCACAACACGGCAGGTACGTCACGGTGATCAGCCGTGATATCCGCATGTACTGTGGCCGCTTCGTTGGACCATCGCTCACAGCACATGGATGGTCCTGCATTCAAACCGTTAACGAAACAATCCAAAAAGGATCCCTGTGATTCCAAGGTGTACACACACTTATAGAAATGCGTACGGATGTGAATGCGGTACCACACGCCAGCCTAAGAAACCAAATCCTGAAAGTCCAGGGAAACCCTATGGATTCCGGGGGTCTTCAAAAGGAGAGGGGACCAAAAGCTCAAGTACAAACCACGCAAAGCCTACAGGTCTCCAACTCCGAATCGACAAACTCAACTCCAAATCAACAAACTCAAAGCAACGACGCACATCTGCCGATGAGAAACCGATGCAAAGGCTGGACATCTTGTTCTAGTTATAAGCGGGGCCCACGATGAAAGTTCTCAGGTAAAACTGCAGGTACGCCAGACTGATCAGGTCTGGTCCGCCAATTCATGGAGGGGCGGGCGTGGAGAGAGTAATATCCAAGATGAAGTCAGCCACTCAAGCTAAATGGCTGCAGTATCCAAAAGGTAGTGTTGTAGTGACGTCATGAGTAAATGCACAAACCAAAGAGGGCGTGAAAAGAAAAGAAACCAGGGTAACATAGTGAAGCAGGTTTGAAATTGCGTTTCTATCCGCAGCGCCGCAGAAATTGAAGATAAGAAGTGGGAAACTTCAAGGAGACGATGGGAAGCACGTACGGCCTCCTAAAGAAGGACGCCGCTATCAGGTGTGATCCTCGTTGGTGGAGCGGTAGGGAGGGAGCAACGTAGATGGCGGAGGACGTCAAGGACATAGATCCCGAATCTGGGACGGGTACGTCCGCACCTGTGACAGGAGGAGAGAATGGTAGATCAACTCCAACTTGGTGGATGGTCCGGCAGCCTGAGAGGGCTCAAGACGTGGAGCCGAGTGAGGTGGGCCGGTGTCCGTGGAGGCGTGCAGCTCTTCTTGGTAGCTGGACAAATTGTGAACATCAATCAGTTGATGCTGTTTCTCAGGAGTCAGGCGGCGAAGTGCAGGATTCCCAGAGATGTCCATTTCAGTGTGAAGCGTTGGATCATACTCTGGATCAGGAGATCTACGCGCTCATGCTCCAGATTGTCGACTGCGGTGCGACGAGGAATGAGCGTCCGGACCAGAAGGTGTTGTTCCTCTTCGAACAGGGCTTGCTCCCATCGGTCACAGGCCTCCCAAATGGGAAGACTGGCAGTTGCCAACCACGGGTGTACCACACGCGATAGTGATGGTCCGACCAACTCGTGTAAGGGGTGTTGATCAAGAAAGAAGCCATTGGTGTGCTTGTAGTAGTCCACGTCCTGGTCGTTTTCTCGCGGAACCATGCGCGATAGAACCAATTTCTGACCCTGCCAAGACCACAACAGGTCCATTCTTCATGGGGAGGAGCGGAGAAGAATTGCGGTCAACCCGAGGGAGACTGGGAAGCGCTGTGGGATCAAATGGAGGTGAATCCACGGAGCCCAGCTCTACAAGTACACCTTCGGGACCAATGGGTAGCAACAATTTTGCGCATAGCTGGGCCTCTTGGTCGCTCAAGATTGGTACATCACCAGGTGGAGTCGGGTCCAATGGAGATGGGGTATCCGCAACCTCGGCAACGTCGTCTGCGGCCGTGTTGTCAGTGGCTTCTATGGAAGTTGACATCAACGCGGATGAGGGGGGGGCCAAAGCGGTTGGGCGACGCGCAAGCAAGCGGAGGTCCCAATGGCTGCAGGAAATGGAGAGGGTGTGATACCATGTGGTCATCATGGGAGTGTGGATCAGGGTGTAAACCCGGGGAAAAGGGGAAGTAAATCAGTATACATTGAGGGAGAGGGTGAGAAAAGGGAAAGGTGAGGTGTTAACAGGTGGGGGAGTGCAAGTCAAGAGGCCTTTTGAACTGTGGCGGAGAAGATCCAAATGTGAAACTGAAATTGGTTAGGAGTCAGAGTTTGCCTCCGGCAAACAAACAGGTAAAGATGGATGAGGAATGCGAAAGCGTACACGTTCACCTGTTGGTTTGATCAAGTACCCGAAGAGTCCCGGAGCCAGTGTCCTACCAGTTGTAGTCGAGGATGAGGAAGGTCGATCCGAGAGTGGTGGAACAAGGTCAGTCAAAGGGCCCTAATCGCGCAAGGTGGATGGAGGTTCCGTAGGTCGAGCTTTCTTGGGAAAGGTAGTGGAAACAATCTCTGGTTCATCATGGTCGCGTCGGTGGGGTGCCATAGATGGGCGTGGTCTGTGTGTCGAGGTAGGCGTCGATGTAGCTGGTGCCGTCTGAGCGGTCGAAGCATGAAGCTGAGAACAAAGGGGAGTGAAAAGAGAGAGGGACGAGATTTGAGCCGAAAGTGCTGGAGGATGGAAATCAAGACTGCAATCCATGGAAAACGAGGAAGCGCGGAAGTATGCTCGAAAGTGGATGAGAGGGACTCAATTCAAGGGGGGGAAAGAACAACCAAAACGGGCGATAGGGAATCCCGGTTAAAAATGTATCAAAGCGTGCAAGTCGAGGGTTGTGATGCACGGAGTCATGAGACCGCTGGCAACTAGTTTTGATGTCTGACGAATCCGGTGAGTTCAAATGTGAAGAGGGAAACATCCAAGGATTCAGTAGTAAGTCTTCAAGTCGAAGGAGCTGGATCAGGAGCAACTGCGCGTTGAATCTCCAAGAAGTCAACCCAGCGTGCTTGTATTTGAGAAAGTGGTCGTTGCATTTTGCGAGCCACATATTGCCAGCTGGGACGTAGTCGTAGTCGTTCATTGTATTTGAGGCTGAGAAATAAATCATCATCATGGGCGCTCCAATCATCATCCCAAGGAGTCTTGGATCGAGGGGGAGGAGAGTGAGGGTGGGGGACATGAGGTGAGGGGGGTTTTGTGCCCTGAGAAGAGGAAGGAAAGCCGGCAAATTCCAACGAACCTTTAAAAAGCTTCGGTCGCTCTGACCACGTTGAGGCGTTAAGCCAGCTTGGACCGCTGCGGTCACGTAAAGGCATGAGCCAGCTTGGAATTCAAAAAACCATCAAGTCTGAGTACTCTCGGCCTAGGCCACCTACGCCCGCTCTGGGCGCGTACATCTCTGGGCAGGGGAGATAAAGACAAACACCGTTCGACGGGTCCACAGCACTCACCCTGCGGGCTCACCCTGGGCTCTCACTAGGAGAGACACACTTATAGAAATGCATACTGACTTGACAGCGGTGCCACACGCCAGCCTAAGAAACCAAATCCTGAAAAAAACAGGTGAGGTCCACGATACGACGAACAGGTCGAAATGACGGCGGCCGCTCACATCTGCAGAGTGCACTAGCCCTTTATGGAAGATGAGGGTGACAGCTTTGTCAACAGTTTCAAAAGCAGGTACAGAAGTTTGCGTCCAAACTTCCATCCAGTCGATTTCCATAGCTTCGTTGGCGTGACTAGGAAATCGACCGTCACGCCCCCTGCTAGCAACAAAAGCAAAAGGACAGGCAGTACATTCCAAAAGGATCCCTGTGATTTCAAGGGTCACACACACACGCTCGAAAACAAACAGCCAAACATTGCTTGACACTCTTGTGGGACACTCTTGTAAAACCCTCTCGTGGGGCACGCTTCTGGGACACTTGTGGAAAACTCTGGTGCGGCGGTCTTGCGGGACACTCTTGCGGTGCAGGACACTTTTGTAGGAGACACGCTTGTGCGACACTCTTGTTGGAAACACTCTTGTGGGACATTCTCGTGCAAAACTCTTGTGGGACACTCTTGTAGGACACTCTTGTATGAGACAGACACTCTTGTATGAGACACTTGTGGGACACTCTTGCAAAACACATGTGGAACGAGCGCTTCGAACGCTGCATCCTCCGCACTTCAACATGTTACGTTTCTAATTACGCTATTTCACACGAATCGCAATTTCATGCTTCCATCCAAAACCTCTTCCAAAAGCTTCCCCCACTGTCAGCGCCATAGAGGTCTCACACGGACGGTTGCGAACGGTTGTGCAACGTCGAGCGAACACAGTCTTACCCCCTGAACACCCAAATGAAACGGGAACCCGTGCTACACATTCGGAAAAAATAAGAAGAAGAACGTTGGCATACTCTTTCAGCAACTCAGAAGAGAAAGATTATGCTCTCTTGCCGTCTTCTTCTCGTACTGTTCCTCCACTTTCTTGGGCCAGGGATCCTCAGGGCCAAGATCAACACGATTGCAAAACCTCATCAAATCTGCCTCATTTCCCCGCATTCAAAAGGGTTTCGCATGCAGCATTAACACCTGCAGTTCCAGCTTTCCAACAGGAAAGGCTCAGTTTCACTCACCAAACATCCTCAACCCCCCACCTCTGCCTTGCAATCATCCAGATTTGTGCAGCAGGGCCGACTACTCAGATGCCAGCTCGGATTGGGGTGTGGATGAAACACCGGTAGGAACTCAATCTCAATTCTCAAGGCTAGCCGGCTAGCCCACTTTCAACCACTCCCCGAGAAAAATTAGGGATTTGCTTCAGATCCTGCAGCTCATTGCTGTAAGAAACTGTCGCGCTTGCATTGCCTTCCGCAGATTTGACCAGGAAATGCTAATGCTATAAAGAGAAATCCACGAGGTGTTTCACGTTTAGACACTTTTGTGATGTCTTCCGAGCTACCATACCCGTTGGCTTATTTCTGTTCATGAACAATTCATATTCATATGTATATAACTCTCGCTATTACCTTGCAGTACCTTACAGTACGGGTCTTGAGGTGGGGCTTTGAACCCACTGAGAAGCAACTTTAGGAACAGCTCCCAGAAACAGCAAGGCAAAAATAGAGGGCTGGTTCCTAGTCGTCCGTAGACTAATGTAGCAATGTGTCCAATCACAGTGTTGACCTTGGGAAGCAAGAGTCTCCTGTGTGAGAATCTTAGATGAGCAATTAATGCATCGGGCAAATGAGGAATTGTGCTCTCGGAGAAGTTTTTCACATGAGTAGGCTTAGTCGTCTGGATAATCAAGAATAGGAAGAACGACCACCAATTATGAGAATTATGCATTG